AAAACAAATACATGTAGTAGTTAAAAAGAGTAATTTACTTTTTGATAGTGGTTTTAAAATTATTAACCAATTACACTATTGACTCTATATGAGTAAAAAATTCTCGAATGGGACGTCAAACAACATACAATCAATGACTATTGAGCTCGCTCCGTGATCGGGAGGTCGTGAGTTCGAATTTCGGCCGCGACAGACCTAAGTGGATAAAAAATGGGTAGTAACTGTTCCTTCGCCATGCACTCGGCACTTTGAAGTGAAAGTTGCAGGTCCTTCGGATGAGACCTTAAAAACCAAGCCCCGTGTCACGGCAGGCGTTGGCACGATAAAGATCCCTCACTGCTCAATGGCCCTGAGCGCCGAGTAAAGGTCAAAATTTGAAGCCCTTCACCGGTATATGGTGACGTCTCTATATAAGTGAACGTAAAAACATACAATCAATCAATCAATTACTATTGAAATCTTCTTTCACAGCTATAAGATTTTTTTCGTTCTGAAAAAGAAAAACAACTCTTTTGAAAAATTTACATTGTGAACAATCTTATACTGTCATTGAAATATTTGAAAATGAATGCGTTTACAAAGTCAAAATAAGTATAGAACTTTTTCCAAAGGATTTGTATCAGTGTCCTCAAATCCAACAAACCCACTCTTCTTTCAAACATATCATGAATTGTAGCTAGGTAGCACATGTAATATTGAAGGATAGATGTAAGACATATATGGAAATTTTATGGCATAAAATTGCTATATGAAATTCTTGGTTTGAATTTCATAAAAATTACATGTGAATCTAATTAAACAGCTTTGTTATTACATACCTTCCAGTACTGACGTTTTATCATCCATTGTCTCTCGAAATCTTTTGGATAGTATTTGATAGTCTTTGCGTTCCTAGTGCCTCCTTTTACTCTGAGTTGCCACTGTTGTAAACATTTTTTGTCAGTTTTTTAAACAGATTGTTTGCTTGAGGTTGAAATATCTGAAATGCCATGGAAAAATGGTTACTTTGTATTGAGACAGAAACACAAGTAGATTTTTTCATTTAATGCATTTTGTTTTGACAAGAAACCATCTTCTCAATTTTTTGGCAGCAGCAGCTTTCAGCCTTTTTTTTTAACTTATAACAATGTGAAAATTAAATAGACACTTATCTCAGAACTGAAATAAATAAATAATTGTTTTTGCAGGAAGTGAAATAGGAATTTTAAAATAATTTTTCGTAGAACCCTTAAAAAATTTCAATTTCTAAATATCTACATTTGCAACGATCTTCTCTATGGTTACTCTTATATAAGTAGTCTGTGTTAATTTCTCGATATTACGACTGAATGTTAATTTCGCCAAGTGAAAGGTCAAGTGCCTTAATATGCATGCCATTGTGTGACATTAGTGTTTTGTTTTATTTTATACTTCAATCTACTGATCCTTTAGTGTTACATTATACCTAGGTGATCGTCGAGGTCCTTGGGCCTCTTTTTAATGTAATATCATGTACCTTTTTTCGAAAGTAAAAACGCAGTTTTTAATTAAATATACATGTAAGGCCTGTTCCCCCTTTTCTGTGATGCCCCATCAAAACGGGCGGACAGCTTCCCTTCACTCCTTAAATCTATTTATTCTGAAAGTAATTTTGACAGATATTTTTTTTTTTAGAATTACATGTTTTACATTAAAAAAAATGAAAATCTTTGAATTAATAAATCATTTTTTATATTTGATTTTAAGCTTGGAACATGAAAGTGCCAATGTTCTCAAATACACTAGCAAATTTACAACAAAATAAAAGAAAATGTTTACATTTCAATCTCTTTATGAAGGTGTTGCTGAAACATTCCTCAGCCATTAACTCAAGCTGATCCCCATCTTTTCTTCAGACTTCTCTGGGTAATGTCAGGAATATTCAGATAGTCCAGTTAGCCACTCTTGTAGAGTTTCACTCAGTATTGCTTTTTTGGGGCTGTATTTTACAAAACATGTCATGTATATATACATATTTTACAATTATCTTTAGTTTGCAGTTAGTTTGAATGCTTCATTTTTTGAAGGGGTGAACAAACACTGCTGGCAGGTTTGTATTGACATTCCACGCATGTCTACCACATGTTGTTTGTTGCCTGTTGTATTTTATTGACAAGCCCACATCCAGAAACCTCCCATTTAATAAAAATGTGTGGGTAAGTCTGAATTTTTTTCGGTACCCGATTCACTGGAAAAATTGATTTGCTAGCCGCAGAAATGGAAACTTTTTAAACCTGCTTAAACTCCACCATACATCTACTTAGTCCTCTTCTCTTTTCTTGTTGTGTTAGTACCTCTGCTAGTACCTCTTCTCTTTTTGCAATGGTAATTTTTCGTCCACACCCTTGATGTAATTGTGGTCATAACGCAATAAGGAACTTCTGAATTCCGTCGCTAGTGACACCCATGCGTTTACTTTTTGCCCATTAGTGATGCCAAATACTTTTTTTCTATCTAGGCACAGTAAATCCTTATAAAAAGCGCGACAATTTCTTTTACAAGATGTACTATCCGAATTGAAATATTAATCCGAGAGTTGTCGCAATTACAAACCTTATCGCAGTTATGCAATACGTTCGGCGGTTAGCTGATTTTGTTCAGAAATATAAATAGGAAATAATCAACCATACATGTACCTTTGTTGCAGTAAGGTGAATCCGTCCAACCAGGCGCACACAAACATAAACCGTCAATGTGTCCACAAGTGTCAATGCAGTTTTTGGAGCACCTTGAAGTGCATTTTGAACCATAGAATCCATGACGACAAGCTATAAAAGATAAATTAATACATGTATTGTTTAGAAGCAAAAGGAAAATCAAAGAGTTAAAGACAATTCGGGATTCAACAAAACAGTTTTACCCTCATTGCATAGATCCCCGCTGTATCCCGGTGCACATCCATTTTTACATATTCCGTCAGTATTGCGGCAATTTTCATCATTAATACAGTGTCCACTGCAAGTGTTGCTACAATCTTGACCAAATTTACCAGGGAGACACACTTAGGAAGAAAATAAAGAGAAATCTGAGTATGCTTTTAGCCAGAACTCCTTCCTTTTATTTTATAAAATAGGTTAAATTTCATTTTTCCTCAAAGTTGGTTAAGTGTTATTTGTCCATACATTATTTCATCAAAATATACTTTCTTTAATAAATTTAGTTGCAATAGGCATTCTTTCAACAACATGATATATTTAAAAGATGTTTTTGCAGGTATTTTGTACCAAACCTGTTTCACACAGAAGTCCCATATACCCTGGGGAACAGCCCCCATTGCACTGCACAGTGTCTTTCTCACAGTAACCACTTATAAGGCAATGTCTGCTGCAGAGGAAGACGCAATTTTGACCATATGTTCCAAGGGGGCACCCTAGTATTCAGAAACATTTTCAAAGATCATAATTAGTAAAAGTTTCATTCAGATTGATGTTGCATTGTTTACTTTCAACTTCTGTCTTAGGTATAGTGAAAATACAGAGATTTATTACATTTTCAACAGTTTTTGTTTGTTTGTATGTTGTTTAACGTCCCTCTCGAGAATTTTTCACTCATATGGAGACGCCACCACTTGCCGGTGGAGAGCTGCAAATTGTGTCCTATACTCGGCACTTACGGCCTTTGAGCAGTGAGGGATCTTTTTCGTGCCAGCACCTACTGCGACACGGGACCTCGGTTTATACGGTCTCATCCGAAGGACCGGTCTCCACGTCACACAGTGGGATTCGAACCCGCTTCCTAAGGATCAACTCCTTACTTCGCGACTCTAGAGCAGACTTTCTAACCACTGCGCCACGCGGGCGACTATTTTCAACAGTGAAATACTATGATTTATTTATTGAATAAAAGTGATTTTCTCTCACAGTGTGAAAGGATACCAAAGTGATATTCTCTCACTGTGTGAAAGGAAATCAAAGTAATTAAAAATAATTCCAGGCCTGTCATAAGATAGAGATAGAAACTAAATAGTCTTGATAGCTACTAAAACTGCCAATTTCTTCCCAAAAATGATGCTTACATCCATGTAACAATGTTTTCAATCTCACAACTGCTAAGCTATTACGTCTCAACAGCTCAACTGTGACGTGACAGCCTTTGACACTGCGTTTAGAAAAGACAGAGGCAATGGGAAAATCAAAGAAAATGTAATAAACAGAAAATTCAATGATTTTTAGTTGGATATGAAATTTAGTTCATTCTGGAGAAAGATTTTTTTTCACGAGTGCAAAACAAAAATCCTGCCTCACTCTTTAAATAAATTTCATATCCAACTATAAAACATTGAATATCCTCTATTTATCCAGCTTCTATAACTGAATTTTAAATTAAAATTTAAAAAAGAAAAAGAAAAAAAAAACTTTTTCAATTGTCTTATGTGTTATTGAAACAATTACAGTATATTCCAGTATGGTGCATGGATCACTTACTAATATTGCTTGAAATACTTGCGATTATAACAATGAGATCCTGTCCATCCACCAGTACAACCATACTTGCATTCTCCAGTAACATGGTTACAAGTGATATTATCTTTGCAATGCCCCGAACAAATGCTTTTACATTCAAGACCGTATGATCCTTTAGGACATGCTGTTTGATATATAACCGAGATAAAATATTGAATTTCGCAAATTTATTTATATACACACACACACCCACACACACCCACACACACACATATATATATATATATAGATAGATAGATAGATAGATATATAGATATATTATATATATATATATATATATATATATATATATATATATATATATATATATATATATATATATATATATATATATATATATATATATATATATATTATCCAATTTAATATTGGCTTTATTTCAGCAAAAAAGTTAAAAAAAAAAAAAAAAAAAAAAAAAAAAAAAAACTTATTCTGTTTTCTGTTTCAAGAAGTCGTTAAAAAGTAAAACTTAGCAAATCTTTCAAAGAAAAATATTATATGTTTGGAACTTACGTTGTTCACAATATTTTCCAATCCACCCAGACAAGCAGCCTAAGCACGTTCCGTTTATGACGTTACATCTGCGTTCTTGGCAATTATCTGGACAAGGCAGTGTGCAGTTTGGCCCATACACTTCTTGTTCACAACCTTGAAAGGAAACAGAATGGTACATTTATTGTATTATAAAACTACAATAAATCAAACAGAGTAACAATTTAATTATATGAGAGATCACGGTTTAACGATATCTTAAATAGATATTCACCTTGAACAATTACTTCGCAGAGTTCAGTGACTGAATACCTTTCATAACCGTCTGGGTAGGCTTTATTGTCTGATCTTTCATTGTAAAAAGTTAGATACCGTGCATGGCCCACACATGTTGTATTAAAATCCAATGAAGGTAACTTGGGTCCATCTTTGTAACAGACATAACCATCTTCTTTATTTGTAGAATTTGAGAGGTGTAGTGAAAAACCTGCAAATCGCCCACGTTGCCTTGATACTGTATGGAAAATAATATTGAATTTAAAGAGTTAAAATTGGGATTCATTGCTATGTTTCTAGGATCTTTAAACGTTCTGAATCAACCTTAAACTAACTCTTTAAAATAAAGACTACCCCTACAAACGGGCATATGTTATAATATTTCTATTTTAATTACAGAATTATTTCATGTCATAGAAATAAACAGATACACATATAGAAACGTATAGAAACAATAGAAACAAAATATAGTCATTTTTAAGTGGCCTAAATAAAGAAGTATTTGTCACGTCTGTTAAAACCTACCTCCATAACGATGTAAATGACAATGATCAAATATTTGCCGAGGGGTGAATTCAAAACGATTTTTTTAAATCAACTTACCATTACATATTTCATTTCAATCATAACAAAATACTTTACATACATTCTAGTTAAAATTACTGTATCCTCATGCAAGTTTGTTAAAATCACAATTCAAAGGCCATAAGTGGCATGATGAAAATTTTGTGACAATAGAATAGACAAATGGAGAAAAACAATTCAGAATTTGATTTTTGTAGAACATTATTTGAAAGAGAAGAAGCCCAAGGGTCTTATAGGTCACCTGATTATCATGTAACAACCTTCCAACAGTTGAATTGGGTTCGTGTTTTAAACCAGAGGCCATGAAATTCACAATTTTAAAAGAGGCATTTATGCTCACGATAACCATTCACCATGCACTTATTTAGTTTACTTAATACCCAGGAGCAGATCAGAGGATTCTCAATGAAAATGCATTTTCACTATATAATTAGTGGGGCCCCTACCCCAGAGCAACTTCTGACTATGAGGCTACACATTTCACAATATCGGAAGAAGCACCCTTGCTCATCATAACTATGCATTTAGTTTGTTTCTTTAATACCAAGGAGCAAAGGAAGATTTCCAGAGCATTAATGCATTTTCGCATGATCAAAAGGACACCACCTACTGAGCCCCTGAACCAGGGGCCAAAGGATTCGCAATTTTGGAAGAGACACCCACGTCCATCATAATCATGCACTTAATTCATCGGCTTAATACCCAGGAGCAGGGAAAATATTTTCAAAGAGTTAATGCATTTCTACTATAGCATCAATAGAGTCCCGCCCTAACATCAGACCCTCTGACCCAGGGGCTATGAAATTCAAAATTTCGGAAGAGGCACCCTTGCACATTTATTTTTTAAATATTTTGAATTTTCAAAATGTCACAAAAAGTGTTGCACTCCTGACAATTTTAGCATCACTTGTGGGCATACCTTTTTGTGTCTTTTTTGGGATATCATTGAAATATTTAGCATGCATTTAGACAATATTAAAAGAAAAATGTTGCGTCATGAAGATTTGTTCTCAGTGACTGTATTTTTAGTGCAGGTCATTAAATATGTGTCTGGTCTTTTTTCACCCAAAGTGAAAATGAACGGAACGAGAATATACGAAAGAGGTGTAAAAAAGCATATGCAGTAAATTTCATGTATGATACTTAAAGAATTATGGTAAAAGAATCAGTTATGCTGATTTGTTTTAATCATTTAATTTTCTGAAAGTTGTTTTGGAGTTGTTTCTGGAATTGTTTTTACTTCTAATCAGCTATTTCTCTTTCGTTCTTAACAACAAAGGAGAAAATGCAATACTTCGCTGCATACTTTAAAACTTAATTTTTGTCCATATCGAGAGTTTGTGCTCTATAGAACTTTAAAAGTGCTGCCAAAATGGTGTGGTTAACATGAATTGAGAATTTATTTCGATTGAATGTACATATACAAAAAGTAAAAATTCTGATTAGTTTTCATGCGGAAGTGTAGAATAATTATTTCTCTGACAGTAGTAGGATTCCAGCAGCTTTTCCATGGCCCAGAGATGTTAATAAATATTCTTTTTAAACAGAAATGAATTATTCCCAGAGTAGAACTGAACATTTTCACTTTTTGTATGTAGTCCTTCTTTTAGACTTAGACTCCTTATTTATCAATGTTACATTTCACGAAAAAGTGTGAATTTGCCGGATAATTATGTGGGATCTGCCTTTAAGGCTTAGAATACCTACGTATTTTGTTTAGCATGTTGGCATTGCCAACAGATCTTTGATATTGTTTTAGCTTTAAATTAAAAAAAAATATTTTGAATAAAAAATGTTTATATTTTGGTCATAAATGTACATGTATGTTATCTAATACATGAATTGGTGAGGGGAACAAGAGTCAGGTTTCCACTACTCCATGACTCTTTGACCCAAAGTACGATTTGAGTAAACGTTGCCTTCTCTAAAGAATACCCAACAATGATAAAGATAAGTATCAAATCAATAGTGACGACTGCGTTAAAAGTGGGGTTTTCATAATCACTATCTTTACAGGGTCGGGGGAGGGGGCTAAAGGGGAGTCTCACCATACTTTTCGCCATAGCTTTTAAACAATATCCTGATTTTGTAGACACTGCGAATACCACCGAGGTCCACTTGCCACTCGACTTCTTTCGATGACGGAGACCCTCCAATAGCACCTGTTCTCATGCAGGTGTGAATATCTCTATCCAACGCATTCCCTGCTTCATAAAGATGACATGACCTCGGAAATACACAAGACCACAATGATGTTTGAGTAGCGTGTTTACCAATGGATAAGTCAGCTTACCAAAAATAAAAATAAGTGAATAAAGAAATAGGTCAATATTTTAAGATATGAGTAAGTATTTTAAACAAATAAAATTAAGCATAAAATGCTTCATGTATGAACATGAATGATCAAACACATGCATTCTTACAGAATGTGAACAACTGTCATAATTAATAATATATCAATCATGTTTCAAACATGCTGGATTTAACTGGCGGGTGAACTTAATAAAATTATCCTCTATTCGCACATATAAACAATTTGAATGGAAACTATACATGTATATATATATATATATATATATATATATATATATATATATATATATATATATATATATATATATATATATATATATATATATATATATATATATATATATATATATATAATTATATATATATAATGTCACTTAGGGCTTTCTCTCGACTAACACCCCTTCCTTGTTCTACAACATATTTCTAAGACACAATATCAAATTTTTAAGAGTTAGAAACAGAAACTGGACATTTTTTTATCGTTGAATCAATAAATCAGTGTCATGACAATTTAAATAGCTTCCAACTGATAACAGATTGATATAAAATACACGAGGTTTCTTCGTGTTCATTTAATGTAAGAAAAAAAAAAACAACAAATCATACCATATCCACGGGTCTGAGCTAGTTGTCTCAGCAATAATAGAATTAATATAGTCATTCCAGTCTAATCATTCAATATAGTGTATCAAGGTTGTCCCCAAGACCCGGGGTCCAGGGAATTTCACCGCCTAAAATGATGTAATCCCTGGTTATTCTCCTCGAACCTTTGTTGGGAGGAATCATAGACCCCCTTTTTTTTTTCAAAGTTCCCTGCTATTTTGATTCTTAGGTTCAATCGTGGTGTATTTACATGGACAAGGAAGTTTTTTTTATTCATGTTAAGCAGATAACTTAATTGTAGTACTTTGACTCAATTGTACAGTGACATGAAAAGCATTCAAATACAATGAGGAAGTTTTAGAGAAGAGAAGCTACTGGACAGAGTGGATCATTTTTGCTTTGAAAAACTGACTAGTAATTGCACGGATTCATATAAACGTATTAAATTAGCTATCTATTCCTTTTAGCGCATTTGGCGGAAAGCAGTTTCTGCTAAATCATGTCTGGAGTACCCGTACATATATTTTTATCTATCACAATCAGATATGCGCTACATTAAATTTCCGTTATCTTGTTTAAAAGCCAATTTTCGCCAATCAAAAGATATAGTTACTGTTGTGCACATATATTTAAAGTAGCAACCCTTTAGCTTTATGAAAAAATGTGAAGATAATTAAAAAATCTATAAACAATACAAATTTGTGAAGAGGGCATAAAAAACGGACCCCTGGGCATTCTAGAGGTGGGATCAGGTAGACGGAAAGTTCCGTAGTCAAACTCAGCATAAAAACAAAGGCCTAACAATTCGTATGAAACAAGTTAGCCAAAATACAACCCAATGTTAGGTTATATTTGCTAACAAGGTCATTATAACGACCATGGAATTTACTGAATACTGATTTAAAAAGGACGTTGTTGAAATCCCTGATGAAATCCCTGTAACATCAACTTATCTGTCAGTAGCCTTCCTCAACTTAAAAATTGATCGTACTCGGAGCAATAAGTTGGGAGATGTAGAAACCATATACAGGTAATTGCGGGGTATTAGTACATAAATACGTACGGAAAGTTGATGATGGAAAAGCTGAAGTCATCTCAATTGTCGTATAATTTAGTTGTTAGTTGGTCCTTATCGTTTATAGTCAGTAAAACATTCAAATATAAAACAGATGTGGCCGACTCTGTGGTTAATTTATTTCAAGTCTACTGGGATATATCGAATAGATATATGAAAGGAAGTAACTATTGCTTATTGATAATACATCGTCGATATATCTAAATATCGAGTTGAAGGCCACAGCAAGTGTTTTCTCTTGAAGAAGTGTTTGAATGAAATCTTTTTCATAGGAACATGAAAAAGGCTGGCAAATAAAGGAGCACAATTACAGTACCGACCAGACACAACCTAACAGAAAGCGAAACCAGAGCGCACCCCGGTTTCGCTCTCTGGGTTCGCTTCGGGTTCGCTTGGGGTCCGCTAGTGCTGACCCCGAGCGAACCCGGAGCGCACCCGTAGCGAACCCGCAGCGAACCCAGAGCGAACGCTGAAAAGGAACCAAAATTCAGTAGCGGTCCCAGAAAGCGAACGCGCGTTCGGTGTTGCGTAACAAAGCTGTCAATCAGGATTAGCGATTAACTCATCAGCGCATCGACCAATCAACATGCCGAACAGGTCTGTCAATCAGGATAAGTGATAAAATGCGTTGACCATCAGCGCATCGACCAGTCAACATGCCAGTTTGTAATCTAAACATTGTACAAGCAAAGCGTGTGAATGTACAGTGTACAAAATATTATTAATATGATTTCTAAACATGATTTTATATTTATATATTTTAATTCTCCAGACAACATGCAATATTTACACACCTATTTTCATTATCATTTATTTTTAAAATCTATTAATACATTATATATTTTTATTATCCAGGTAGCATGTTACATGTATAGTTATATATTTATTTTCCTTATATTTTGAAAATCCATCAATATATAAATATACATTGCGTAAATTTATCAGACAATAAGTACTTTAATTCATAATAGAAAAATGATAATAATGGTTATAACGACTGTTACTAAAAAAAAAAAAAAAAAAAAAAAAAAAGAAAAAAAAAAAAAAAAAAAAAAAACTGGTCTTCGATATAAATTATAGAATTTTATTATCTCAAGAAACAGTATAAGAACATGTACGTGCTCTAATTTAATTATTTTTTATCTATTACTTCAATTTACATGCACATTTTAATTCATCCAGATCAACATCGAAATAATCGATCTTAATAATTGATCATGAAAAAAAATTTAATGTACTTTGTACAGTATAAATGTGCATTATGTCAATACGTAAATTGGGGGAAAAATCTCATTTTTTTAACTACTATGATATTTTTTTTAATTAATCTTTTATCAAAATTTAATAAATAACTGATTTAAATACATGCATATACGGAAAGATTATTTTGTCAATCTTATTTATCCTACATGTAGACCTTACATCGTATGTTTTTGAATTTTTGTAACTACTTGCAAGTCAGTCAAAAAAAAATGCTTATCACTTTCCTTCGCGTCGATATATATATATATATATATATATATATATATATATATATATATATATATATATATATATATATATATATATATATATATATATATATATATATATATATATATATGTACAGGTTTACATGTTCACGAACCTCTTACATGTACTACATGTAATTTTCGAAATATTTATATGGATTAGAAAAAAATACTAGACGGATACGTTTTGTGCTTGTGCATGAAAAGTTCACGTAATTCCGACATTAGTAAATTAAACTTGCAAAGATACCTTAATACGAAAACGTACATATACTTTTTTCATTACATAGGTACCTGTATTTGTACTTTGTAATTGTCATAATTATTTAATTTTAACACTTTAATAGTTATAAATTCAAAGTGAAGCCAAGGTCATCACGTGTCGGTTATCATCCACCTGTTTCGAAGATATTGCGGGTGCTAGGAGCCATTGCGGTTGGTTTTTTAATTGACACTTGCTAGCTGGATGTATACTGTCTCCATGGTCACGGTATACCTGAGTATATACTCCCCCTACATTCGATGCCCCTTAAGTTACATGTACCTCGTCTGGGCCCGTTATTAATGAGAAATTCAATTATTAATTTTTTTTTTTTTCATTTTTAAATTTGGAAACGTCATAGTTCTTTGGTACGTTGCATGAAGAGTACATGTTCATGTAATTTGCTGCCACCTGAATGCTGAAAATCAGTAAAATCGGGCGTTATTATCTTAATTTCATCTACTTAATCATGCGAGTTTACAGTTATTGAATTCTTGTTTTGTTTGTTTTCTTTCTTGTTTTTATTTATTTTTAAACATCTAGAATTTTGTTTGTTAACATGCCGCTCCAGTATGTAAATGTATGTAGTGGGGGGGGGGGGGGGGATCATGAACCAGTAAGGAACACAAACTATTCAAATGATCATTTATTTGAAAACAACTTAAAAAAAAATAATATATTCTTATCAGTGGACCAGTTATTAGTTTTTGTTTGTTTGTTTGTTTTGGTTTTTTGATTGGTTTTTCTTTTTTTTTTCTTCTTTTTTTTTTTTACAAGTCTTCCGTTAAACTCGCCTTATAAAACAATGATTTATTGCATGGAAGTAAATTATAAATGATCTGTAAAACGAAACTCAAGTTACATTGTATGAGAATTTTTTTTGATTATCACAACCTACATATACATGTAATGGACGACAACCTAGCTTAAATATAAACTGCTAAATATGAAACTTAGCATTTTACGTGTACAGTATGTCTCAGCTATTTCATAGATAAGATCATAATTCAGTTGTTTGTCTTTCAAACATTTAAATTACGATTTAGAAATTGCTATTCCAATTGGAAGTTCCAACTTATTTTAAAACGCATGCATAATGTAAACAGATGAACTTGAAAGCTTTTTTTTTTTTATTAAGATACTCCCATCAATTTCACTCCATCCGATACATCGAAAATAAATTTAACACCTTTTCTTCTTTTTCTTTCGAGATATACATAGCTTGTAAGTTAAGAAAAATAAAAGTGATAATTCTACGTCGAATGTACGGTGAAATTCTTGAAAATTTAACAACGTTCTCCATATTGTCACTTACATGTACATGTTTCGATCGCCATAAAAACAGTAAAGATCAATTTCACTACTG